TGAGAATCTCTGAACATTAAAAAAGTTTTGAACTGAAGAAGACCAATTCCACCTATGCTTGCCACCTTTTGGAAAACGATCACAATTTCGACGCTAAATATGATGTACTCCCTGTAGAAGCTAAGGGACAGAAGTTGAACCTGCTGAAGTCTCTGGAAATAAATAAGGGAAAATGTAACAGGAGGTGATCACCCATCATTGTTAAACGTTTTTTCATAATACCATGTATTAGCGAAACTTTCTTCAACACTACTAACTGTATGAGCATACGTAGGAAGGAATGAGCATACGTAGGAATTCACCTGTTGTCCAAAAACTGTGAATGTAATTGTTTCACAGATTCTATCTGGTATCGCTTTCACTACTAAAAAAATTAAGTTAGGTACCTACTGTTGTGGTATATAAGAATTGTAGCCCACTTTGTAATATTCATTTCTGTTGGTAATTGAAAATGCAACACACCCTGTATTGTACATCAATCATTTTTCAGTTATTGTTTGACATTTGTATGTGAATGAATTACTGTCAGATAAAAGTTTATAGATATATTATTTTTTGATATATTCAATATAACGTCTAAAAGTTACTCAGGCTTATTGTAATTACACTTTTGCACTGCCCTCATTGCATTTCCAACAGGTTATGGGCCCAAGCAACAAAGTAAAAGTTGTAATCTGTCAGTAAGTGAATGTTACATTATTGAATTTATCAATATGAGTTCAAGTAATGGTTTTGGATCTTCCATTGAAGACAATACTTGGCAGTTCGCAGTTCAAACTTATCTCGAACATGAAGAACTCTGGGAGTGCGTCACAGGTACAGAGAAAGATGAAAAAAAGATCACTAAAGCCAAATCTAAAATGATTTTGCTAATTGATCCCATCAATTATGTTCATATCCAAGATGCACCGACAGCAAAGGCTGTTTGGGACAAACTGAAGGCAACTTTTGAAGATTCAGGATTAACAAGGAGAGTTGGATTATTGAGAACTTTAATTACAACCAGACTCGAGAACTGCAATACTGTTGATGATCACATAAACTGGTATTGCACACAAACTGAGAGGCATAGGTTTCAATATGTCTGAAGAATGGTTAGGAACTCTTTTTGTTGGCAGGTTTACCAGAAGAGTATAAGCCGATGATAATGGGCATCGAAAGTTCAGGCGTAACCATTACAGGAGACAGTATTAAAACAAAGTTGTTGCAAGATGTTAAAAGTTCAAACACTAAAGGCGAAAGTGCGTTTTATGGTAACAGACAGTTCAAAGACAAAAAGGATAGAAATAAAGAACCTAGATGTTATGAGTGTAACTTATACGGACATAAAGCAAGTGATTGTTATAAAAAGAAAGACTTTCAAAATAAAGACTACAAAAATAAAAAGGATGTAAGACCTAGCAAATCTACTAGTGACAATAAAATTAAGAACACTCACGTCGGATTTTGTGCAGGTTTTGCTGTGAATAATAAAAATACTGATGACTGGTTCATTGACTCGGGAGCTACGGCTCATATGACAATGCGCGAGGACTTGCTCACGAATTTGAGAGAATCTGAAATAAAAGAAATTGTTGTAGCCAATAATTCAAAGGTTGAAGTGAAAGCAGAAGGTGAAATACATTTGCAGATCAAAGTAAAAGGTATAATAAAATACTTAACTGTAAGAAATGTATTGCTTGTTCCTGATCTGACAACAAATTTGTTGGCTGTCAGTCGAATTGTACAATATGGTTTTCATGTGACATTTAATAAAGAGAACTGTCAAATTGTCGATAATAGTGAAACCATAGCAACAGCATCATATATAAATGGAATTTATATACTGGATGTTGAGACTGAATGTACAAATAAAATTTTAATTGCATCTACAGAGGGTGACAGTTACCTCTGGCATCGCAGACTCGGTCATATAAATATGAAAGATCTGAATAACATGTAAAATGGAATTGTTGAAGGTATTCAGTTCCTCAAACAAGAAAATTGTGACAATTGTATTCCGTGCTTGAAAGGCAAACAATGTAGACTTCCATTCAACCATATTGGCACTAGCATAAATCAAGTGTTAAAACTAATTCACTCCGATTTATCTGGTCCAATTGAAAATGAATCTTTGGGAGGAGCAAAATATTTTTTCACATCAATTGACGACTACACTTGGAAAGTTTTTGTATATTTTCTAAAATCTAAAACATATGTTGAAGATACTTTTAGAGATTTCAAAAATATGGTAGAAAATGAAACTGGAAATCGCATCAAAATTTTGCGAACAGATAACGGTAAAGAGTACTGCAATCGAGATTTTGAAAACTATCTCAGAGAATGTGGAATCAGGCATCAAACAACTTGTCCCTATACTCCACAGCAAAATGGGATAGCAGAACGCATGAACCGTACGATTTGTGAAAAAACAAGGTGTATGCTGTTTGATTCAAATTTGGAGAAAAAATTTTGGCCAGAAGTTGTGGCAACATCAGTTTACCTCATCAATCGATCTCCGTGCAAAGCATTAGAACTGATGAAGAAAACATATGAAGAAATGTGGACTGGGAAGAAACCGAACCTGCAACACATCAGAAGCTTTGGTTGTAAAGCAATGGTTCACGTACCTAAAGCAAATCGTCGCAAATGGGATTTGAAATCTGCAAAATTGATTTTTGTGGGCTACTGCGATGAAACCAAAGATATCGCTTCATAAGGCCAAATTGGAATAAGCTCATTAAAAGTCGTGATGTTCATTTTATTGAAAATGACTCGCATTTGAAAAAGGAATTGTATAATCATTCTGAAATTGAAAGCATTTCGAAAAATACCCAAACAGTGGGGGGCATTTTTGATTAGGAAAATTCAGCTAACAGTGAAACCAGAGAAAGTCCAGAAACTACTAGAAGTGATGAGAAAAATGATGAAGAAGAACCAGAACCTTTTGCATCAGACAAAATTATAGAAAATATTAGTACCCCGAGAAAATCTGAAAGACTTAGGAAGGAGAAGAAAATGGATGATTACTTTCTTTATCTGACTCAGACTTCTGGTGAAATAGGTGATCCTACAGATATTGATGCGGCGATGAGCAGTCCAGATTGTGATCAGTGGATAGCTGCAATGCAGAAAGAATACGATTCTTTACTAGCAAATGACACATGGACTCTCGTTGACTTACCTCCTGGCAAAAAACCTATTAATTGTAAGTTTTCAAAACAAATAGAGATGAAACCGGCAGGGTCATCAGATATAAATCTCGCCTGGTAGTCAAAGGTTATTCTCAGAAGAAAGGGGTTGACTACACTGAAACTTTTAGCCCAGTAGTTCGTTACAATTGAGTCAGGTATTTGATAGCTATAGCAGCCAAATTTAATCTGGATATAGAGCTGATGGACGCAGTTACCGCTTTCTTGCAAGGAGACCTTGAAGAAGAAGTATATTTGCAACCACCAGACGAATTTTATCAAGGAAACAAAGTTTATCGCTTGAAAAAGGCCATTTATGGTTTAAAACAGGCAAGTCGTCAATGGAATAAAAAACTCAGTGCTGCTTTGAAGGATATTGGATTGCAGCAATCAATAAATGACCCATGTATATACTATCATACTGAGGAGTAGAATATTATATATACGTGGATGATTTATTAATATTTTCCGACAACAAAAATGCAACGGAAAATTTAAAGGAAGACTTGAAAAGAAAATTCAAGATGAAAGATTTGGGTGAAGCGAAGACCTGTATTGGACTCAGAATTACTAGAAATCGAGATAAAGGTGAAATATATCTAAACCAGGAAACATACATTAAAACTTTATTGGAAAAGTTCAACATGGCAGATTGCAAACCCGCTCTGACTCCAGCGAACCCAAATCAAATATTAACTCGAGAAATGTCTTCAAAGAATGAAAAAGAAAAAGAAAAAATGACTAAAATACCGTATCAGGAAGTCATTGGTAGTATTTTATATGCTTCACAAGGAACCAGACCAGACATCACTTATGCTGTTAATACTGTTAGTCAATTCAACAAAAATTACGGCAAGGCTCATTGGACAGCAGTAAAAAGAATATTGCGATTCTGATTCTAGACTAAAAGGATATTGTGATGCTGATTGGGCAAGCGATGTTGACAATAGACGATCGTGTACTGGATATGTGTTTCTGCAACAAGGAGGGCCGATTTCATGGAATTGTAAAAGACAGCATACTGTTGCGTTATCAACAACAGAAGCCGAATATATGGCTTTATCAGCAGCTACACAAGAAGCTCTCTGGTTGAAGCAGTTCGAAGAGGAATTTTGTCCAGAAACACTCAAGAAGCCACTTTTGATATATTGTGATAACAAGAGTGCAATAAATCTAGCAACCAACGATGGTTACCGTGCAAGATCTAAGCACATTGATATTTGCCATCATTTTGTCAGACAAAAACTACAAGACGGATATATAAATATAGAGTATATTAGAACGGAAGACATGGCTGCTGATATTTTGACGAAACCCTTATTCAGACGAAAACATGATATATGTTTAGAGAAAATGAATATTGATGTTCAATCGCATTTTAGTGGAAGAAAATTGGGAATAATGTCTTTGCCCTGTATATTGATTTTCTACTCACTGTTAGAAATACATAAAAACAAAATACTACTCTCCAAACACTCAGATCATCATAATTCTGAAACTAGAAATGCGGAACAACTCAGACAGCCAAGATTTATACTTGTAATGTCATTACGAAATTCCCTGTACATAAAATCATTTAACAAACTTTCATATAATGTGACGAAACGTAACTCTCTCTCTGTCTATCCTTCTCAAATTCCGTTTGCCTCTCTCGATCATAATTTTCGTAACGCTTCGTTACGCATTTCACCAGCTTAGGTATTCCCCAAGTCAAGGGCGCGTAAAAAATTTTAACTTCAAAAACTGAATGGTTCATTGTCAGTTGATGCCAATTTACAAAAGCGTGAGTTCTCCACAATCCCCATTTTGTTATTAAATGTCAGATATTTGAAGCATCTACTATTAATTTATTATTTCAAGATTAATGAGAGCCCCAACGATCGAAGGGTATGCGGCAAGGCACAGTAAACTTTCGAAAAGCGTAACCTTCAACAGAAATACTCTCCAAAGTCCTCCAAGTAGCGCAACGATTACAGAAAGTCCGCAAAGTTTGTTCCAGTTTGGGAATACGCCTACAGATAATGCATTGGAAGATATGCAAGAGCAAGAACACACACGAGAGTTGAACCGATGTGAAAATCAGATTGTGACGAATAAGACCAACCATCAAGTTAAATTAATAAAAGGTACGTTACTTTAACTTATTAACATCCTAATCATTGAACACAAATTCAGAAATTGGGTTAGTAATCTTCTATACTAATATAAATGTTAAAGGTTGTGAGGATAGATCTCTCTGTATCTGTAGAGTAGGGAGGGTGAGTGTACGCCCACAGCACTTAGGCCATGTGACCCATTGTACATCCTCCAAAGGAGTTGTCCTTCTAGGTCATCGTCCATCCCGTCCTTTCCAGGAAGGTAGACAAGTCTCTGGGAGACATCACCTGTAGGCCAAGACTCGCCGAACACACACTCTCTTATTGACGATAACTCCGGACACTCACATAAGACATGCCTGACAGTTTCATCTTCCTGTTGACACATCCTGCATAGAGGTGTGTCCATTAGCCCTATATTGTGGAGGTGTTTCCTCAGTTGACGGTGGCTAGTCAGAAATCCTACTGTTAAGCTTAGATTTTTCCTGGTCATGTGAGAATGGATGTATGTATGTATATATGTATGTATGTGTGTATGTATGTTTGTATGTCTCTCACGCCTAAACGACTGAACGGATTCAAACGACACTTTACATAAATGCAGATTATTAAACATCAGAATAACATAAAGGCTACAATTAACGAAGGTTTTGTGTGATTTAGGTCACAATATAACGATAAATATTAGGTAAGTTGGAAAAACGCTTGCTCCTTGAGAGCTATCTTCGCGTGAGCTGCCTATAACGTTGGAGTTACATGCAGATAATGTACCGTAAGATTGTTGATCTTGAATAATAGTGCCAAATAAAAGTCCACGGTAGCATATACAGTGTGACCCATTTTTAATGGAAACACCCCCCTAAAATTTGAAGTTGTGAACCGATTTCAATAATTTCATTTTTGAAATGTCAAGTACTGAAAGATCTACCTTGGGACAAAATTTGAAATATTTATTAAAGTTTCAGGGCACACTACGATATTTTTTCAAGTCGAAGATCGGGATTTTTTATTTATCATTTTTGATACTGCACCAGTTTCATTGAATATTTTATTTATTTTATTTACCGTACCGCAGCTAATACGAAGACGATCTGGATGTCTCTCATTAAATACTCTACAAACCTCTCTAGTAGCACTTCTAACGTCATTTCCCGGAAGGCGTACAATTTCAATTTTCTCTCTTACGCTCAATCTTGTAAGGTGATTATTGTTGACAATAGTACACTTAAATCTTTCACAAGTGTCAAACTGTAATATCATTTCCATGGCAACTAAGATTTAAAATGAAATATTAGGTCTTAGTTTCAGTTAATTTGCGTGAAAACTTGAATGTAATTCCGTTATTTTCATTAAAAATATTTACGCTATTCGTTTTCTTTTTCATCTGGCGGCACTTTATTGTTGAAATCATAAAAAAATTATATATTGTGACTGTGTGTGTTTTCGAATTTTTGAGTTGTCATAACTTTGTTAATAATGAATATTTTTTCATGAAATTTTGGTCACACCTATTAAGAGGCACTCTAAATCCAGTGGCGTAGTGATGTTTTCAATATAATAATCGCTAATGAAAAATCCCGATTTTCAACTAAGAAAAAATATCGTAGTATGCCTTGAAACTTTAATAAACATTTCAAATTTCGTCCCAAGGAAGACCTTTTAGTACTTGACATTTCAAAACAAAAATATTAGAATCGGTTTACAACTTCAAATTTTAGGGGGGTGTTTTCATTAAAAATGGTCATACTGTATCTACTTCTTATGTGGTAACCGCTTCATGCGAAATACTGAGGCATGAATACAATTGAACTGGATACTTTTTTTACAATGCACATTTCAGAATACCTGTCGAACTCTTATAGAAATTGATACAATAGTCGTTTTGACTATTTGATATGGATAAACTTGGTCTTTTACACTAAGTAATCGTTTGAAAGTTATCACGATAATATTAACTTGACGCAATGCAGTAAGCCATTACGCACCGCGTCTACCGTAAGACGACGGCGGACAATGCTAGGGGGTAGAGGGGCGGTATGAGCAATGAAGCGACATCGCCAAAAACGTGGGCAGACGCGTGAGGGTAGACTTCGTTGACGGTTGTGTTAGTTTTGCGAATTTCTTTATAGGTAACATAATTCGATTCTCGAAGCTATTCATTACTCGGTGCAGTTGTCATATTTTTCAATAACTGTATTTTTAAAGTAAAAATATAAATTACTAGCTGTTGCCTGTTCTTATATTAACGTACAGCTGAAGCTACTGAACCTAGAATCTTTAAATATGCAGGTAGGTTTTTCGTATAGCGTAAATAAGCATCAAGAAAGGCAATCAGGAATTTCCACCTCCAAGGGGGAAAAATAGGGTTTCAAAGAATAGGATGTTTGCCAGTCTTTGTTGAGCAGTTCGATATATCTATCTCGGAAGGTTTCCAACAGAAACCAAGTAAAATTTAATTGAGATTTTTTATGAATTTGTTCGTTTGCAGGGTCATTAGATGATGAACAACAATATTTTGCTGATATTTTGATGGCTATCAAACAAGTAATGAGTTCGCATTTGCACGACATTCAAGAGAAATATCAGCAGAAATTCGAAAAACTAGAAGAAGAAATGAAAGCCAAAGATGCAATCATCACACAACTCAAAGCACATATCTGTGAACTGGAACAAACCGGCGAGGATTCCTTTACACTGAGTGTAAGTGAAGTAGTCTTGAAAAAAAAATAATCTCTATTGAAAAAATTATCATTTGAAACATAAATTATTGATTCTGTGTGAAAATGAGGGATACCTAAAGCAGAAATTATTTCAAAGAAATTATACTTTGCTGAAACTTGGACCAACATGATACTTATTATTTATTCTACATGATATCAAACATATTTCAATAGTTTCACAGTAATATCTCAACAATAAATGTAGGTAAAATCAATTATATTCTCACATTTTCAAAAATGAACAAAATATCTACTATTACGATTATGTTCATGACAACTTGACACTGGATATAAAACCAAAATGAATTTAAGAAATTAGACTATCGAAAAAATTGCACAAAGAAATTTTGAATACATTATGGGCAAATACAGAATGAACTGAATGGAGTGAAATCGTTACCAAAAAGCAAGAAGAAGGGTAAGAAAGGGTTATATTGAACCTCTAGAGGGTTTTTTGAAAACCTTCTAAATTATCAAAAATCAATATTCAAATAGTTGTACAATTTATAGAAAACCTGTGTGAATTCTAAGTTCACAAGTGTTTATAACTGAATTAATGTTCTTATGTCGGTCGGTAGCCAGGCGGTTCGACGGTGCTTTGTTCACTCACTCGAATTGACTGCCGTGTTGATCGTTGGTTCAAGCCCTAGTCTGAACGATCGATTTTCACTTGCTATCGTAGAAACCCGTGTTAGGAATCACATGTTACAAGGTTAGACCTCTTTAATCCTTAGCTCGTACAAGTTTCGACTTCTGAGGGTTGTCGTTCGTAGGGATGCGACAGCTGGTTAACGGAAAAACAGATTTTAAACAGATTTTTTAATGGCATGTTGAAATGACTTTACAAATTCTCTTCGTGAAGTTTGTGCCTCAATTAGTCCCAAGACAATTCTCAATTGTAGCTAAACTCAACCGGATTAAACAGAAAAGTCAAGCGATTCTACATGCTGAACAAGCTATAGTTGTGTTACATTGACAGTAATCTCGAAATCCTCAAAAATTGATTGTCACTCTTTTTTCAAATAACTTTCGTTCATGTTATTTATTCGCATCGATCACTACAGTAATATTGATGTTGGAGTAACAACATTTATACAAACTAGTATTTTGATGTTCAGTGATCATTAACAAGATTTTGAACAAAGCAAAAATTCAAATGTTTCCCAAAGAAAGTGTTACTGTTACGTGATCAAAAATTTTAGAAAGTTAGTAAATTTTAGTGGTTGGAGTAGTTCTGGTTATTTTGCCGATGCCGCTTGGACACCAAAAAATATCACTATTGTGCAACATTATCATAATGTAACGTGTGAGCCTTCGATTTCCAACTCCAAAATTCACATTGAAGCAGAGGAATTATGTTGGTTTTTTCTGGGCATTCATGTTTTGATTTTGATGTTAACTCACCTTAGAATAGTTTATTTTTACTCAACAGTATATTGGACCTGGATTTCTCTAGAGCCGACTTTTAATTCAATTTCTGTTTCTGTAGGACTCTCTTGATACCGTTATAAGTAGAGACAAGCAATCCTGGGAGGAACCAAGTAATGACGAACAAGAAGAACTAGAAGACCTACCCCGTCCAATCCATGCATGGTCACCACCACCACACAACGTAGTTTTAGATATTGATTCCACTACGGGTAGGTAGTTTTGTTGTTGCTTCAACTATTTATCCTGAGTTTCTGTCTTGCAACTTAATAAAAGAATATTTTGATTGAATGTATTCCCAGAAACTTACGAAGTTATGAGATCAAAATATTGGAAACAGTATCAAGAACTGAAATTTAATAAAAGAATATTTTGATTGGATGTTTTCCCAGAAACTCACTTGAATTTTTTTACAACTTAGTAGTATTTGAACAATCAAATTAATCAGTAACCATTACTCCGCAACAGATGTGAAAAACGTAAAAATTCCAAAAACACTGTAAAAATTCATTCAATGATAGCAACTGTCAACAAGTAAAAATATTTCTCATTATTTGAAATCTATTGTGTTTTTATTCAACTCAGTCAACCAATTTCCAGGACCGTAATTCAAAAGGGAATAATTCACAAAATTATAAATACAGGACCGTATTTAAAAATTCAAATATGGGGGTGGCCCAAGTCAGAGGACACCCTGTATGGAAGATTCATGGATATATTCTGAGAGCCCACATCAAGTGCCAATAGCACTTGAATAGGTCTCTAAAACACGCAAATTTGCCATGATTCAACCGACACTCTAGCTCTTATCGTTTACGAGATCCCCATGTACAGACACAAATTTGAATAGCCCTGTGTATTCTAATCGAATGCAGTAGAAATTTCGCCGGAATTCGCATTATTCTCGCTACATCTAGATCGGTAGCGAACTTCGTACATCCGCGCGCTCTTAGCTACGTCACGATTGGTTTATGGCTACCAGTGGCGGCCGGCGTTATTTTCTTCAGGGCATGATTTTCAACCATACATTCATAANTTTGTAATATTATCCACGAATAATTCCTGTAATTATTTGATATTACGTACGTTTTTTTTTGATTTTTCACATCTTTTCTATAGAATTCGAATTTGAAATTCCATCACTTTCCAAGAAACATTCTAAGTGAACATTTTTTACTTTTATAACTATTTTTGTTTCGTGATCATTCTCAATGCTAGGTCCTGATTAGACAGCTATTGAACTGTGAAGAAACGTTCATCTATCTCATTCAATCGACTTTTTTACTAATGAGATAGAGTTGTCGTTACTCGCCATACCATTTCTTGCTATTAATCACTCATCATCCTATTCTGATATTATAGATACAGAGTCAGACGTTGGAGAAACTTCAGAGACAGAACAAATTGACTTTGATCCGGTTGAATATGAAAACTCCAGCAACAACTGGGAAATCGAACTTTTAGCCGCACAAATGAGAGATAGGCGCTCAGCAAGTTTGGACCATAGCGCAGGACGACCTCTCAGAAAGAGATTCGTCAAAGGATCATCCATGGACCATGAATGATATAAAGCATTTTGTAAAATTGTGATAGAAACTCGATGGAAATATTTTCTGGGTTCTTACTATTTGTTTAATGGACAATGCGACACTTGAACTGAATCTAGAGACATTGCGACACCTGAACAGTTTCGAATATTTCAAATCATAGATTCAATGGTTTCAAGATCAACAGAACAAACACATGGCAAAAAATTGAATTTCTTAGAAACAGAGTGCCTTGTACATTGTGGTGAAGATTTTTCCGAAATTAAAGTTTAGTATTGAGAAATTTCATGAAATTTTGAACTATGTTCATGATTAATAATATATCATGTATTTCGAAGAAGTACTACAAAAATGATATGAATTAACTCATTCGTTTGTTTTCACAAGACGCGAGAGGTATTTCTAGAAAACTGATTGACCATTATTTCATTCCTTACAAAAACTTTCCGAACTGATTGTTACGTTCGAAAGCCGTTTTTATGAGTATTTAGAAACTGACTGTTCGAAAAAATTATTTTGTGGTGAATTCTGAATTGAGATTAAAATGTGTTCTGTTGATTTTGAACGGGAATACCAAAAATCTAACAGGAATCTGAAACTATGTCTCATTGCCGGCTAAAACTGGAATATGATAAAAAAAAAGTATTAAGGATAGATAACATGTGCCAATTACTTGAAATGTGAAAATTGATATCAACACTTGAAAATGCTCATTTTACTCTGAATGATTTGAACAGTTCCATTTCATGATGAGTCCTTCAATGTTGCAATATCGGTCGAATGAAACAGTATTTAACAACAATAAATTATATACTATAGAGAAAATGACCATTTTAGGAAATGTAATAAAAAATAATGTAGATACATAAGTAANACTTGCAGGCATAAACTGAAAAAAAAGCTTAAACGAAATAACTACTTTGATAAAAACATTGAATTATACAAAAACATTTTCCCATTCAGTTTGTACTACAAACATTCGTTATTATATTGAATCAGACATCACTTACAGGATTGCCATACAATATATTATATGGAAAAGGTGAAATTTTACTAACATAGAACATTCTTTCTGACTAACATTTTCTTGTCCATCGGAATAGGCAATAGATGTTGGCAGAAAGCGAAGCCTTTCCATTCGTAACTCTACAGTTCCAGTAGATTGTACGATGTGATTTAGAATACGAAATCAAATGAAATCTCCTGTATTCGCCTAAGCATACTATTTCAGTATCCAGGTTATCAAAGGTTTTTTCCAAATTTTTTATATATGAAGTGAGTTGCGTTATCATATAACAAAAGTTTGGGCTTGCCATGAATAGAAAAATACCTCATTATTAGGCGGTTTAGTATAACTCTAGCAGCCGCCCTCTTCGTCGGAAATGAAGAAATATATTCGTTATAGACAATAACAACAACTAGAACATACATTACCACACAAAGATGTTGTTGGCAAGATATTAACCTTTGGTTTCCGGGGGATTATCTGTAACTGCATAGGGGAGAAAAGAGTTGATATTTTGGCCTTCTGGCATATTTTGCACGACCGTATAACATTAACCGTATGATGCATGTATTGGAAATAGAAATATCTTCTGACAGCGACCCCTGTTTTATACACGCCGAAGTAGCCAAAAACGGGATGGATATCCCTAATAAAGCCATTTATAAACCTTAGCAAAATCGCACAGAATTTTTTTCACAGTTGATTCCACAAATTTTTCCACAAATGAGATCTCTTATTTCATCTCAACAACATGGTTTCATGAGTGACAGGTTAACTGCATCTAATTCAATTGCCACTGAACAAATCATCTGTGATAGTGTTGATGGTGAAGTTAAGATCGATGTTATATACATGGACTTTTCTAAGGCATTTGACCGTATTGATCATTCAATTCTACTTGTCAGGAATCACACGTTAAAAGGTGAGACCTCGTTAGTCCTTAGCTCGCACAAGTTTCGATTTCTGAGGGTTGTCGTTCGTAGGGGTGCGACAGCTGGTTAATGGAAAAATAGATTATGAACAGATTTTAACAGATTTTGATAAGTTAACCCAACTTGGCTTCAATTTCACACTTGTTGATTTACATTCAGCAGCGAGTTAATAATGTTTTCACTATATTTTTCGTCATCTGAGGTGCCGCAGTGTTAAAATCTTGGACCTGTGCTATTCACAATATCAATTAATGACTTGCCAAGGAACTTGAAATATGGTCAATCATCATTCGAAGATGATCTGAAACTGCATACATATGTCACAACACTGCAAGGCTATAAATTTATCCGATCTCAACCAAACATTGTCAAACCTGAGTGCTCTGATAATAAACTCCATATAAATCTATACTTATGAATGCGAAAGTCACTCATTCAAGACTCATCTATCTCTGTTTCTCCATATTGGTAAGTAGTAGGAACAGCGGCGGCTCGTCAGAGGAGGCAAGGGAGGCTTAGCCTTCCCATAAAATTTGAGGCTATTCATCGCAATAAATTAAAAGATATTGACAAATTATTATGATTATTTTTTTCTAAAAATACTTGGGTATCATTACTTTACCTTTAATTTTTAATATAAATACATAATATGCCCGAAAAAACACTATCACTCACTACGTAGTACGTACCACACTGTATCCTGCATCAACCTTGAACGTTTGAAGT